GGGAGTGCGGGGCCGCTGCGGGAAGTGAGTGCGGGGCCCGGGGGTGCGGGGCGCTGCCAGGAGGGGCCTGCAGGTGCCTCTGGCCCAGCAGGCTGCCTGGCTGAGGGCGGTGGTAGATGATGAAGGGAGTGGAACATCTCCCTTATGAGGAAAGGCTGAGGGAGCTGGGTCTCTAGCTTGGAGAAAAGGAGACTGAGGGGTGACCTCATCAATGTTTACAAATATGTAAGGGGTGAGTGTCAGGGAGATGGAGTTAGGCTTTTCTCAGTGATGACCAGTGATAGGACAAGGGGTAATGGGAGCAAATTGGAGCATAGGAGGTTCAAGGGGAATATCCGAAAAAAATTTTTTACTGTGAGAGTGACAGAGCCCTGGAACAGGCTGCCCAGAGAGGCTGTGGAGTCTCCCTCACTGGAGACATTCAAAACCCACCTGGACACATTCCTGTGTGATGTGCTCTGGGTGACCCTGCTCTGGCAGGGGGGTTGGACTAGATGATCTTTCGAGGTCCCTTCCAACCCTCAGGATTCTGTGATTCTATGATTCTATGGTAGATCTGACCAGCTCAGCCTGTCCCTGCGGGCTGGTTTGACCACAGACCTGACTTGCCTTTGCCAATAGACAAACATTACTGGGCCTCTGGGAATAACTAAAAGTGGGCGCGATGCAGAGAAACTTGGGCTTTTGCAGCCTAGGATGATCATCCAGAAGAACTTGTCCTAAAACTGTGATGAGACCTTTTCTTCAGGCTTGCTTTCCAGGCTGTCGGGCAGGTGTTCCTAACATGACTTTATGTGAGCAGAGCAGGAGATTCTAGTGAGGGAAACCTGACAGCTGCTCTTAAATATGCTACATGTGCCTCCCGAGGATAAACTGAGCAGAGAGTGACAGTCCTGAGCTCGCTGTGTAGCCACATTTATTCTTGGAAAAACTCTTTGTTGGCTCTTGTCAGCTAAAACGTGTTATTCCAGCGCTGGCTTGGATGGGTCAGCATTTACAGCTTTCCTAGGTGCTGTTGAATATTCACAATCTCTTCTCTTGTGTCACCCAGGGGAGACTACCTACGGTGCTGCAGATTCTGTTACCCGCTGTGCGCGTTTGTCGTCCTGGCCGCGTGCGTGGTGGCCTGTGTTGGCTTGGTCTGGATGCAGGTGGCTCTCAAGGAGGATCTGGATGCAATAAAGGAGAAGTTCCGAACCAGTAAGTGTAAATGTAGCTACGCTATTGCACCTTTGCTTTGGGCGGTGTGAAGAGCTTCAGTTGCCTACCTGCTTGTTCAGAATCTGAAGGCACTGAGTTAGACAAACTGGCCCTGGACTGAGGAGTCCTCCAAGCAAAAGATACTTGGAGGCTGGGTGAATCTAAGGCAAGTGTTGTAATTTCTTGCCTGCTCTACATGTTCTGAGGAGCAGGAA